TCTTTTCCTGTTTGTTTCGGGGGGGGGGGGGTTAAGTCCTGTATTGTACACATCTGTAATGTCCTGTAAAAACAGGCTCACTGAGTGTTCCCTGTTCTTTTTAATTTTTTAAAAAAGAAAGGCATTTCTGTGGATTTAAGGAGATGTTGACTGCATTTCCAATTTGAAGCCTGTCTGAGAGGTGGCAAAAAATGGGATCATGTTGGAGATACTGCCCTGGTTTAAAATTGACTTCTATGGAAATGTGTAAATGTGAACCCAAGTAAGCTGTTTTTGGTCTCTCTGCAGATTGGAGGCACAGAAGAGTACAAGATCAGCAGGGGTATTAAAGAAGGCCGTATCACCAAGCCTGTTGTCTGCTGGTGTATTGGTACCTGTGCTACCATGTTCTCTTCAGAGGTAAGCATATAGTCTGAAGTATGTATATAAAACACATATATTTCTCTGGAGAGAGTAACAAGTCACTTCTGTTGCGCATAAACTTTTCCAAACATCTCTTATCGGTAGGCACTGACATGTAAGTTAATGAATCCTGCTTTATAATGGTTTTCTACAGTTATGTAGTATTTCACCCAGAAGGATCCTTAAAAGATTCTGCAGTCATGGGGATAGTTGGACTTTGGGCAAAATACAGCGGCTCTTTCATGGCACGTGCCATACATCAGTTCAGAAGAGAGAAGGGAGGAAGATGCAGCTTCCATGTAAGTCCAGTATGAGGGGAGATAAAGAAGGCAGAATATAAGTAGCCAGAGAACGCATCCATGTTAGACTGTACTTTGCACCTAAGAATTTAACTGCAAGTGAAGTCAAGTGTCTTGTGCCAATGCATGAGTTGATAAAGCAGGATAGGAAACTATTCATGCAGCTACTTGTCACCATTTTTTCATGTTTAGTTCTCTCATTTCTGTTAGCCAATTATTTAATTGTTGGCAATCTGCTTTCTCCCTGGATTTACAGGTTCAGTTTGGCCACGCAGGGGCTTGTGCCAACCAAGCTTCTGAAACTGCTGTTGCAAAGAACAAAGCCCTGAAAGAAGCTGGAGTGTTTGTGCCTCAGAGTTTTGATGAGCTGGGAGATGTGATTCAGTAAGTGATGATGGAATTGGAGAAAAGTAAGGTTGAAAGGGCGCAATTTTGCTAAGTGATCTCTTCTATGTTCTGCCAAGTTGGTGCTCTGCCATGTTAGTTGCACTGCACCATTAAATGTCCCATGAACACTAAGGGTGTAAACAGATGTCTTGTTTCTCCCAAGAGAACCTTTTGTCCTGGGATCCTACAGATGTACCAATCCGTTGTCCCTCTCTTTAAATACCTATGAAGTGTGTAATATATGCTTTTCCCCCAAGATAGTGCCATGTTTGTATGTAAATCAGTCATGGCTCATGCGAGCTAATTGCCAGTCATTCCAGGGACAAGCCTATCAGGGGTAGCAATGCAGCTTGGTAGGGCTATATGGCTATGTAAGTGGCCATGCCCCTTGTGTTGATCTGGGTTAAAACCCAGGCCAGTTGGGACCACCTCAGATGAGACATTGTTTGTCTACAGGCCAAGGTAGTGGCAGGGGAAAATGAAGCCTCATAAAGATTGACTTTAAACTGACATATGATAACCCTTCTTTATGAAACCACTTCTGTTCATACTGATGGTTGCAGTTTGGGACCAAAACTACATGGCTAACATGTACTAAAGGAGTAAAAATGAGCTGATGTATGAGCTGGTGTTTGTCTCTTGTTCCCTTTGTGCCTAGGTCTGTGTATGAAGACCTCGTTTCAAAAGGAGTGATTGAACCAGCTGAGGAAGTGCCTCCCCCAACTGTGCCCATGGATTACTCTTGGGCAAGGGTGAGTTGTAATGTGTTTTTCCACCTAGTTTACTTGATAACTGGCTCTGAGGTTTGCTGGGATGCTAGATAGAGGAGATTTGAAGAAATGAAACTATTATCTGAGGAGAAACAGTGCATGGTGCATTTCTTCCTCCACTTAATTCATCTCCTGGATTCATTCAGCACTCCCTGTGGAAGGCAGAAGCATCCAACACTTCTCTGACCCATATGGCTGGAATTATCTGCTAGGGCTCTCAAACCACTCCACATATGGTGCTAATATGATGCCTGGCTGGTCTGCCAACACTTTTCCAGGAATGGTTTTCTCACCTGACAGTCTGATTTTTTTTTTATAAACACTTCAAGCCTGGCAGCATGCATGCGACAACCTATATTCTCTTGGCATCTAATGCTGTGTCCTATGTGATGAGCAGGCCAGTGTTAGACCAGTGATATTTCATCTGATACAGCTGTGTTTTAGTGTTGAGCTAATGCAGTTTTAACATGAGCAGCTTAATTTCTGGAGAGCTGGGTATCGGGGAATGTAGCTTCTGTGCCAGGTGCTTGAATCTGAATCATCCTTTCATGGCCAGACATCTAAAATGTGGACATGGATCTGCTACTGCTGTCAGTAGCATTGCTTCCCAGAGTGGTTGCCTTGTGTCTGTAACTTAGCTCTTTTACAAAAAAGATTGGCCTGTTCTTGAATCCTTAACCTGGAGCCATCTGTGTTTTCAGGTTGTTCTTTGGCCTGGGACAAGTCTGACTTGAATTTCCCCAAATAGTAGTTAAAAATCTGGCCAAGTCTCTGGAAGATGCAAACCCTCACATGGTGGAAAGGCATCAAGAAAAATAGCTAGATAGCAGCTGAGGCAGAAAAGGTGCAGGCAGATATCCACTGACCTGTCCTGGAATGAACAAAAGAAGAGCTTTTATATCTTACCTTAATTCAGTTATCAACATTAATGAAGGAGCAGTCCTGATGCTGTCATTTGGGGAACAGTTTGATTTAAGGACAGAAGATGGATTGTTTGAGTCCTTCCTGTCATACTTTTTTCAGGAACTAGGTCTGATCCGGAAGCCAGCATCTTTCATGACCAGCATTTGTGATGAGAGGGGCCAGGAGCTGATCTATGCTGGGATGCCCATCACTGAAGTCTTCAAGGAGGAGATGGGAATTGGTGGGGTCCTGGGCTTGCTCTGGTTTCAGAGAAGGTAAGGCAGCTCTTTGGATGCTGCTGACTTGTGCAACTTGATTTTAGCTTGTGTTTTAATTGCCATTAAGCCCAGACAATCCTTCTCCTTATTAATGCCATTCCAGTATCCTGCTGACACCGTATTGGCATTTCACATCCATCTGCACAGTATTTGACTTTGTGGGGAGGTGGCCTTGAGGGAGGGAATTCCACCTGGTGGAGCTTGGGGAAAAAATCCTTCCCAACTAGAACCCTGTTATCCATCCTTTAAGTGGATGGGTGGAGAGATTCTTTTGCAGTGTGAAACAGAGCTGTATAGTCCATCCATGTTTGTTCTTGTTAATCATTTCACCCCTTTTTCCCCCAGGCTACCAAAGTATGCCTGTCAGTTTATAGAGATGTGTTTGATGGTAACAGCAGATCATGGCCCTGCTGTATCGGGAGCCCACAACACCATTGTCTGTGCAAGAGCCGGGAAAGATCTTGTCTCTAGTCTCACCTCGGGCCTTCTCACCATTGTAAGTATTGAATATCTGAGAGCTTTAGTCTCCCTCTCTCTAACTCCAATCTAATATTTACAATCCCTAGTAACATCACCTGACAGTAGATCAACGTGCGGCTTTGTCCCACTGCCATAGATCAGTTCATGCCCTGCTTGCTTTCTCATTGATGGAATCAGTAGCTTTATGCTAAATCCAGTTCTAAGGAGCAGTAGAGTAGGAAATGATCTGATCAAGTTAAGAGCTGCTGGAAAATGTGTGCATCCCTGATCCTCTTTAGCTCTGTTGTTAAATCCATCCCATGGGAGTATCAACTCAAAAGTTGGTGCCCCGTTTTGTGAAGTAATTTGGGCAGGTCTGGATTTGCTCTGCAGTGGACAAGTGCTTATGTCACAAACCCCAATTAAATGAGCAGCAATCTAGTCACTTTTCACTGGAATTAATGGGAGACCAAGAAGGAAACAGGCCTCAGACTTGAATTGCCTTTTGTCCCTAAAAGTGTCCTTTGTCCTTCTCTACTTGTTTTATACCTGATGAATAATTGTCAACTGGTGCTTTATTATAAGCCCCTGTATAGTCTAATTTGCCCATTTTGTTGCTGGGAGTATTACATGAGAGGGTCTCCTCGCACCTGCTTTAGCCTGTAGCGGTAGAAGTCTTTGCTGTAGTTCAGTTTGTTATATGTTGGGCACAGGGAGACCGGTTTGGCGGTGCATTGGATGCAGCAGCTAAGATGTTCAGTAAAGCCTTTGACAGTGGCATCATCCCCATGGAGTTTGTGAACAAGATGAAGAAAGAAGGGAAACTGATCATGGGCATTGGCCACAGGGTCAAATCGGTAAGTTACCTGTATTGTTTAGTTACAGCAGGGCCCCCAGGCTGGATCTGGACCCTGAGAAGCTTTACAAGCTGGATCCAGACTCGATGGTGGTGGCACTGGAGTTAATACAGCTGTTGCTCATCCCCTCTCCCCCTGCTTTCTGTTGGCACAGATCCCCAACTGGGATGTGTATCTGAGAATTCAGTGGTGAATCCTACGTCCAAATTCCTGCCCCTCTAAAAGTCCTGTGGGCCAGGTGAAATGGCTCTGCAAGCTCTCTTTGGCACCCCTGAGTTAAAGCAAAGGGGTGGGCTTTTGCCTTTGGGAAAGGAATAGAAGAAAATATGGAAGAGATGGAAGGTTTGAGAAGCAGTTAATCTTCTGTTCCTTGAGGCTTATTGCTGACACACTTTTGGGTGGTATTTGGAGAACTAGCTGTTGCATCTGCAGCAGGGATTTAGCCCTGTTCCATAAGACTTTTTGATGTTGTACAGCTGAGTATTTTGTGTTCACCATCCCTCTGCCTCTGTTAGATAGGTGTAACAAATTTAAATATGCAAATATTTTTAAAGCCCTTGGGAACAAAACATTAAGTGGGCCTCAATTGAGGGGCTGGTTTGAGGTGCTGGGCACAATTGGACATGTCCTTTTATTTCACACAACTGCTAGATGTACATGCAACCTGCTTTAAATTTGCAGATAAATAACCCTGACATGAGGGTTCAGATTCTCAAGGACTTTGTGAAACAGCACTTTCCTGCTACCCCATTGCTGGACTACGCGCTTGAAGTAGAGAAAATTACAACTTCCAAGGTAAAACACCAGCCTGTATTTTTAAGTTCAGTTACTTGATAAAAACTCTCTCAGAATTGTCAAGGAGGTTGAGGTTGTATTTTATTAGGGAAGGGGTGAGATATTTTGGCTTTAACTAAAAAAGCCAAACAAACAAAACCCCAAAAACAAACCCAAAGCAGATGTAGTAGGACCAGAGCCAGCTACACTGCTTATGCTTTGGGTGAAATGATCTTCACACGCCACCAGTCATAGCCTACAAGAGTCCACCTAGCTTCTACTGCATGTCTGCAGTTTGCATTTGTAGCCTCCTAAAATTGCTGGCTCCTGGCAGAACTCCGGCATGAACTGAGCAAAGGCTTATGCAAACAACAGATCCCTTCAGTCAGATTGGTGTGGTTCCTAAGCTGCTGGGTGTCCTATATTGCTTGCAGCCTCTCTGCAGCACCCTCAGAGGTGCAACTTGCAAGTTATCATTGTTGTTAACTTATATTTGGGGGTGGGCTGTTCTGCTTTTTCAGAAACCAAATCTTATTCTGAATGTGGATGGCTTTATTGGAGTGGCCTTTGTTGATGTACTCAGGACCTGCGGAACCTTCACTCGGTAAACACCAAAATATCTTCTCTGGCTGTCGTACATGGAGGGAGGGTGTCAGTATGATCCTACTGAAGTGATAAAAGCTTTACAGTCAACTTCAGAAGGGCTGGAATTTCACAAAGATGTTGCAAAACAAGGCACCATGCAGTATCCTGGGCCCTTGAAGGAAGGTTTCCAGGAAAACTAAGCAGTAATTTTTTGCACTGGGACTGATTCAAAGTTCTGTGAGATCTATCATACCAACTACCCTGTTAGTAAGGAACACTTGTGTTTTTGTTGCAGAGAAGAAGCAGATGAATATATTGACATAGGAGCACTCAATGGCATCTTTGTTCTGGGCAGGAGTATGGGGTTCATTGGTAAGTTTCCCATCCCTACCCAAAGCCCCCATTGCTGAGGTTCCTTACTAGCACCACCACCACAAAAAGGCATTCAAGACATGCCTCTCACCTCCATCCTTTTATTCACACCAGTGTTAACTGCTTGTGGTGAATCAGTCACATTTTCCAGCACAGGATAACCAGCTGGGATCATGTCAGTACCATTTCTTACAGTTAGTGAGCCACTTCTGAATGATTAGTAAGGATGTTGCCTATCCCTGTGGAGTTAATTGCATATCTTTCAAGTACACCTCTGCCCTAACAGAGTGAAACTGACTGTTCTGGCTCACCAGCACCATTTGTATAGCTACCACTGACCATGCAAGATGGATTCTCTGTGTGCTAATGCACATCTCATTACTTCTGATTCAGTGACTGGAACATCTTCTAGCTATTTCTTTCTATTACAAGGCAGAGCCTAGAAAACACTAGTCCTGGCAGATAAAAAGAAGTTGATGGCTTTTGCAAAGCCATTTATTGGGGGGAGAGGTTGTGTGTTTTTGCTTTTTGGGGGATTTTTGCTCCATTTGAAATTTCTCTGAACTTATGCCACCTTGGAACATCATTTATGCTAGCCAGCCTAATGCTACTGTCTGTGACCAAGTACTGCACCTAAAATTTAAAATATAGTAATTTTTGTGATAAGCAACAGACACATTTGCTGTGCCTCTAGAAAAGAGTAGGTAGATCTTGAGTTTCAGACTTGAGATGACAGTTGTATCAGGTCAGGAAGGAACAACAGTTTTCAAGGAAGTCGGTCTGGAAGCAGTGGACAGTGGTTTTTATATAAGCTGTGTGTTAAAAGATGCTTTTGTTTTAGGACACTACCTGGATCAGAAGAGGCTGAAGCAAGGTCTGTATCGTCATCCGTGGGACGACATCTCCTATGTTCTACCAGAGCACATGACTATGTGATGGTCAGTAGCATGGCCTGAAACCATTGCCTAGAGAAGCTAGTTGCCTGCATAGAGGACAGCTGTCAATGGATTTCAATGTAAAAGCCTTTAGTGTATAGAAATCACGAACTGTTGTGTTCAAAGCAGCTGTCTTACAAGCATAGAAACTTATACAAATAAAAACCAAAACTTGGGATACTCCATATGCTACCTGCTGTATTTAATATGTGGAAGCAGCCGAACTGTCTCTCCCCCGCCCCCCCCCCTTTTTTATTATTCTATTCTTGTTTTATTTTCAGTGTTCTGCTGAGGTTTTAAGGTTTTCATTTTTTTTGCTCATGGGCACAGCCTTGCTTGACTCTAAGAATAAGCTTGTTTCCATTCCGACAAAAAGAGGAACCAAAACCTAAAGAATATTGTCCCCATCAGCTGTGAGTTGGGATTCCTTTTTAGGCTGTTTTTCAGTTTGCTGTTCACCTCCACAGTTTGATCATATCCTTGATGGTGGGACCACTGCTGATTTTTATAGCCAATGCTCTTCAAACCCTGTTGTAGTAAATTAAAATGTAAAGTTGTAACATATCCTGTTGTTAAGACTGTGAAACTACCTGTATTCCATTCTCTTTATTTATGCAACCAACTTGTCATTTACCATCAAATTACTGTTACAGAAAACATTTGGCCCACCACTATGTTGTTTGCGTATGCAACATGTGTGTTCTTTGGGCAACTAATTATAGCCTTAATCACAACTTCAGCACCCTACTGTGTCTGTATTACTGGAGTCTAACACAAATAAACAGTACAGTAATCATGTTTAGCTGGATTTTGTATTTTCTTAGTGCTGGCATCTTAGCTTCTGTGCAAACAAGTTTCTTTCTATAAGGAAATGGACCGCTTCATTTTAAAACAGCGGTTAACTTGCATGCCACAGGTTTAAAATTTCTACTTTTTCTTTGGGTCTCACTGACAGAAATGCTAAGCCACTTCTGTTGTTTTTAGATCTAATTTGACTTCTGAAGATCAAGCCCAACGTCCCTCCAAGTAGATGCACAAAAAAACTGGCTGCTTTTGAAATATGGAGTGCAAATACATAACAAAATGCCAGAAGTCATAAAAGGTTAATTGTATCATGTGTAGGTGTTCAGATACCGTGGGAGTGGGAAAAGTACTTGGCTAAACCCACCAGAAACCCTGTTGGCATGACAGCATCTGTCAAGTTCTAAGTGAAAAGAGATTTAACATTTATGTGTTTAGTAGTCTGCTAATAAAGAAATGGGTATAGCTGTACTAGTAATATTTCAGCAAAAATAGGGCATTCAGGTATTTTGCATTAATGGTCATATCATGTCTAAAAGTCAACTAGTGTGAAGTTATTTCATGTAAACAAAAGACCAGCAAAACCAGGTAACCTTGGTGGATTTTCCAAGCCATCTTAATCAAGTCACTATCCTACCAAATCAAAAGGTTGTCTAATCTGATCCTGTCTATACAGTTGGTCCAATAAAATATTACCCATAAAAATCCTTGCCAAGATCAAAGGGGGTAATAGGGTTCAAGACTGATCTCAGAGGCTTGAGCCCAGGCTGTTTTGTGAAGTTACAGGGGAAATGTGTACTTGAGCTTTGATAGGTAGTTCCTGTCATCTGTGCCAGATGCTACCCAGCAAGTGCTGTTCCACCAAGTGGGTCCCAAAGCGACAGGATAGACAGGGTCTGGGAGATTCACAAATACCAAGACCTGGCAAGCCACCCTTGAACTTCTTTGTAATATGAATCCAGAGGTGCTCTAACGGATTTTGAGAAAACAATGCAAGGACCATTTGCTAATAGAGAGAACACAACCTAAGACTGGGCTTCTTGGCCACATCCACGCAAGCATGGATTTTGGTTCCCTGGGGACAAGTAGCCACTGCACAGCTTGCACCACCTCTGCTTGGCCCCAGGAAATGGTTATGCTACACGCACTTCGGTGCATGGCAAGGTACCTGGGCTGTAATAGGGGAGGCCGACATAGAGGTCCTGGGGACTCTCGAGGCTACAGTAGCAACTCTGTCATGCAGAGCCTGGCTGCTGGATGGAAACTGTCAAGCAGTAATCTGTGTGAATCTCTCTGACTCTGTAAAGCAGACGAGATGCATTAACACGCAGCCTTAGTAACCCTCCGCTTATATTCTGGCAATCCCAGTGGAATGACCTACTTGTATTCTGGCGACCTCAGTTAATAAATTGGTTGGTGCTTAGTAAATGTTTTTGTAGTCAATAAAGCTTCTGTTTGTCAAATAAATGCCGGTAATTAATAACAAAAATTAATTGTGATTAATTGCAATTAATTTCCGCCCGACGCTGACGAGCAGCCGCAGCTTGGCCCGGGGCTGCCTGGCTCCGCTTTCGAGCGCTATGCACTGCTTCGGGCTGAGCCGCTGCTCCTCCCGGCTCGCGCGCGCCTTAGTTCCCCCGGCCCTTTTAATGTCCCGCTCCCCTCGCTCATGTCCAGCTCACATACGCATGCGCTTCCTGGCTTAACGTCTCTCTCTCCCCCCCGCCCCCTCCTCCTTTCTGCGCGCATGCGTCTTGCTCTAGCCCGCTTCCGCTTCCGCTTCCGTTCTGGGAGCCGTTAGCGGTGGGAGCAAGATGGCGGCGGCCTCGGCCTCGCCTCAGACCCTGCCGGGGCCGCCGGGGCCGGGGCCGCCGCCGCTGGGGCTGGCCGGAGACGATTCGGGCGCCGAGGTTGGTGGGGGGGCGGCGGCGGTGGAGGGGGGGGCAGGCGGGGAGGCAGAGGGGGAGGAGTTCGTGTGCCCGGCGCACTGCACGGAGCTGGCCTGGCGGCAGAACGAGCAGCGGCGCCAAGGCCTGTACTGCGACATCACGCTGGCCTTCGGCGGCGGGGCTCGGGAGGCGGCGCCCCTCGAGGTACGCGCGCACCGCTCCGTGCTGGCGGCCGCCACCGACTACTTCGAGCCGCTGCTGTCGGGCGGCTTCGCCGAGTCGCGCTCGGGTCGCGTGGAGCTGCGCAAGTGGAGCTCGGAGGGGGGCCCCGACCCGGAGACGGTGGAGGCAGTGGTCGGCTTCATGTACACGGGCACCATCTGCGTCAGCCCCGGCAACGTGCACGAGGTGCTGGAGATGGCGGACAGGTGAGGCAGGCAGGTGGGCCTGCGCGGGGTTAGGCAGGTGCTGGGGCTGCGAGAGAGCCGGTAGTGGGGCGTGGTTGCGGGGATGAAACGGCAGGGGCTTACTGCAAGGGGCTGCGGCAGCAGATAAGAGGGCAGCCAGGGTTGAGGGGGGGAGGTGAGAGCTGGTATGTAAGAGAGTGGGTCTGTGGGCAGGCAAGGGTCCCCATAGACCTCAGCTGGGGGTTGGAGCTGGAAGGACTGTGGCTGCCAGCAAGGCAGTGGATGTTGCTGGGGCAGACAGAGGGTGCCACTGTGGATTGGAAACGGCCAGGCATGGCTCTACTTGCTGTGCTCCCTCTGTCTGCACCCTTTCCCCAGGTCCAAAACTTATCCTGAAGAATTGGGCGCGTATCCCTTTTCTGCCTCATGCTTTATTCTGAGTGCCTTGCAGGTGAAGCGTTTCCTGCTGATAGGGGTTATGTTTTTGTTGTTTTTGTTTTGGCTGTTTTGTTGTGGCTTTTTCAGGCTTTTTTTTTTTTTCTTTCTGGTGGGGTGGGCGTACTCTATGCGCAGGATTTTTAGGCTCTAAAGCTTTTGCAAGGGCTTTGCCTTTTGGGGATTTAGCAGCCTAACTTCATCTCCCACAGAGATCATCCACAGCAGTGGAGTTAACTGATTAGAGACCCCTTAAGCAAAATCTATTGATGTAATTGATGTTCCTTGCTTTTATTAGATTTATAAATTGCTGATTAAAGGTTAAAGGTGCACCAGTACGTTGATCCTTATCGGATCCGCACCTATGAAAGGAAAATGACATTTTCAACAATCAGCTGTTTTTGGTTGATGTGGCCAATAATGTCACTGATAAATGTTGCATGCATGCACACAGCTGCGGCATAAATGCAGCCAGCCCGGCAGCTTGGAAGGCAGTGTCTTGCTGGTAAGTCTGTTGGGGGGAAGGGGGAGGGAAGGTATGTGGGGAGGGGAAGATAGAGGCCCCCCTAGTAAAGGAGTGGGGCTGAAACAGGGGCTGGTGCTGCTCAGCTGGGGCACAGGACGGAGCCATGAATGGCTCATCCAGGGGGTGCGGAGAGGAGGGGGAAGCTCCTGCTGCTGTGCACATCCTAAGGCAGGCATGGGGGGGCATGTGCCCCCCGGATCTGCACATAGGGGGAAGGTGGGCTGCTGCTGCGGGCTGGGGCGGCACTGGGCCCTTCCTGGCAGGGGGGGTTGGGCCGGGGCTGTGCTTGGGGTAGGCAGCTGCGGCGCTGGGAGCGGGGCTACTGGGGTGAGGGTGCTACGGCCACCCCAAAATTTGCCGTAACCCCCTCCCCTGTAGCTCCCCCTTCCAGCGTCACTGCTGCATGCCTGAGTGCAGCCCCAGCCCACCCCCCCTGCTGGGAAGAGCCCAGTGCTGCCCCAAGTCCCAGCCTGCAGTGGCAGCTTGCCCTCGCACAGAATCGGGGGGCATATGCCTCCCCAAGGGTGCATGCAGTGGCTGGAGCCACCCACCCTGGACCCTCCAGACAAGCTGCTCACAGTTCCGTCCCACACCCTGTCCCTCCCTGCGGAGGCAGTGCCTGCCCCAGCCCCACTCCCTCCCTCACTGTGGGGGCCTCAGTCTGCCCCCCTACACCCTTTCCCTCTTCCCTGCCACCCCTTTCCGTGAATGAACTTACCAACTCAATGCTGCTCTCCGAGCTGCCGGACTGAGTACAGGTTTCCCTTACTTTATGCAGTACATGCGTTCCTGTGAAACAGCACATAACTCGAATTTGCATAAAGGGAACCCACTTTATAATGCAACAAATAGGAATACGTTCCAAGACCTCGACCGTACTGACCCCCAGACTACAAGACAATTTTGGTACTCGCCAACATGCATAATGGGGATGGCAACTGCAGAAACACATGTTGCAGACAGTGAGTGAGGAGCACAAATCCACACAGGAGACTCTGTTTTGGTGTGCATCACTCCCACAATGCACCACACAAAGCAGCTGACTGCGGGCTTCCACCACACCGATCACATAAGAGTAAATTTGCCTCACATGTAACAAATTTCGATATAAAAAGTGTCATTGCATAGGAGTGAATTTGCGCATAAAGTGGGGGAAACCTGTATCAGCAGTCAGATCGGTATTGGCTGTTCTGGCTTGTTAATAATCGGCTATCAGTATCAACCTAAAATCTTTATTGGTGCACTCCTAATAAAAGGAGTCATTATCTGAACTTGGCTTGAAGTCTGTGAATACCTGTATTGGTTAGAAGATGTTTAAAAGGAGCTGCTGAAAGCTGTATAAGGAATAACTGTGTATATTAAGAGCTTAGCTGTCTTGCAATATAAATTATTCTTAAAGATAAATGACAGGACTTCAACCTGCTTGTCCCACGTTTAATGTCTTAACTTGTCTTTGTTTGCTCTTAAGGTTTTTATTGACCCGGTTAAAGGACTTTTGTGGGGAGTTTCTGAAGAAAAAGCTAAATCTTTCCAACTGTGTAGCTATTCATAGCTTGGCTCATATGTATTCCCTGAGTCAGCTTGCTCTGAAAGCTGCGGACATGATAAGGAGAAATTTCTTCAGAGTTATCCAAGATGAAGAGTTTTACACCTTACCATTTCACCTCATTCGAGACTGGCTTTCTGACTTGGAAATCACAGTGGACTCAGAAGAAGTTCTTTTTGAGACAGTCTTAAAGTGGGTTCAGAGGAATCCTGATGAAAGAGAGAGGTACTTTGAAGAACTCTTTAAATTGCTTAGGTTGTCTCAGATTAAACCCACTTACCTGACCCGTCATGTCAAATCTGAAAAGCTGGTGTTCAGTAATGAAGCTTGTCTTAAATTAGTGTCTGAAGCTGTGGAAAGTCATGCTCTGAGGTCTGAGAACTTGCAGTCTGGTAACTTGCAACATTCTGCTTGTCCAGTAGCCTTGTTGCCTCGCTATGGGCAAAACATGGATGTCATCATGGTGATTGGTGGTGTGTCTGAGGGAGGAGATTACTTAAGTGAGTGTGTAGGTTATTTCATTGATGAAGATAGGTGGGTAAACTTACCACACGTACATAATCATCTCGATGGACATGCTGTTGCTATTACAGAATCATATGTCTATGTGGCTGGCTCCATGGAACCAGGATTTGCAAAGACTGTGGAAAGGTACAACCCAAACAGAAATATCTGGGAGCAAGTCTCTAACTTAATAATCAGAAAGCATTCTTTTGGACTAACTGAAGTCAAGGGAAACTTGTACAGCATTGGTGGGCATGGCAACTTCAGTCCTGGCTTTAAAGATGTAACTGTTTACAATCCTGAGCAAGACAAATGGCACAACCTGGAGTCTGCACCAAAGATTCTTCGTGATGTCAAAGCAGTGGCCATAGAAGATAGATTTGTTTACATTGCTGCTCGCACGCCAGTTGACAGTGATAATGAAGATGGTCTAAGGGCAGTCATCATCCGCTATGACACTGAAACAAGGCAGTGGCAAGATGTAGAATCTCTGCCCCTCATTGATAACTATTGCTCTTTCCAGATGTCTGTTGCCAACACAAACTTCTACCACACTGCGTCCTGCTGCCCCAAGAGTTACCCTATTGATAATGAAGAGGCTAAAAAAAAAATCTCTAACAGACCATCTGATGAGATCCTTGAAAGCTTACCTCCAGAGGTCCTCAGTATTGAAGGGGCAGCTATTTGTTATTATAAAGATGATGTTTTCATCATTGGTGGGTGGAAGAATAGTGATGATATAGACAAGCAATACAGGAAAGAGGCCTATCGCTACTGTGCTGAGAGAAAGCGATGGATGCTTCTCCCTCCCATGCCACAGCCTCGCTGTAGAGCAACAGCCTGCCATGTGAGAATCCCATTCAGATGCCTGCATGGAACCCAAAAGTACCCTATGCCACCAAACTTGATGTGGCAGAAAGATAGGAGAAGGCAGATGCAGGAAATACACCGCCATTCTTTAAGCCTGCGAAGAATGCCACGCTCTCAGATTGAGTGCTAACTCAAAGATTGCTTGTTTTAATTTGCCTTGGTTAAGAAATATGCTGTCAGTTTTGTAAGGCTCAGTACATTGCTACAATACATTAGGATGTTGGTAACTGAATTGGCTTGGTTTGATGCATGAAAGCAGCATCCATAATTTGTGTTTAAGTACTGAGGATTAAGAAGTGTCAACGTTGATGATGACAAGCAGTTAACATGTCTAGAGACTTCTATATTGTTGAAACAAGCATAAGGTAGCTCAGGATAGCTAGTTTCCCATTAAGGGGATACGTGAAATTTATCCCTGACACTTTAAAAATGTGGAACCTGCTAATTCTCTTTGCAAACTCTTCCCCCAGCCCTCCCTCCTTTCATCTGGATGTGTGCTTGAAGGATTAATTTTATTTGCACTTACATTATTGGTATTCCTTTAGATTCTTTCATGAGCAGCTAACCTTCACATACAGTTGGTTTCTATGCACTTAGCTCTCCAAAGTTGGAGGCATGTGCAATAGTTTAGGAATACTTGCATATAAAATGTAAAGCACAATCTTTCTTTATAAAATGACATCAGGATGTTTCTATATGTATTAAGTATTTTATCTGTATATTGTAGAAATGCTATGGAGCTTACTTGGAGATGATTGGTAGATCAGAAACTTGTTAAAACAGCAAATATGAGGCAGTAAAATCATTCCAGGTGTTATCTGGAGATGCCTCTGGTTTTTGGGTCTTTAAGCAGATTCATGAGAAACTTGAGCAAACGATCAGCCTGAATAAACTAATGAAAATAGTAAAATTTTCAACAGTTCAGACTAACTGTCCACTTCTGAAATCTCTGTGGAAATTGGGAATTACTGAGAGCAGAATTATTTCACAGCACTATATTAAAGACTTGCTACTTGAAACTTTTTTTCCAAACGTAGCACACACTTAATTCTAGTCAATATTTAATTTTAAAAAATGTGAACCTGTATGCAGCCTGCCTTTGACAATCAGTACTCCTTTGCCTTCAAGATATTCTCCCTTTAAGTTTAAACTAGCCATGCCACACCATTTCTTCACAAATTAGCATTTATGTTTTCTGTTGCTGTAGAACAATAGCTCTTAATGTAAATGCTGATGGGAAGCTTTCAGCAATTTCCCTGCATATTGTGTTGCAGCATATAGCTGCTTGTGGTGAAATGAGGGTATTTAATATTTTTTTGACGTTCTGAATTGATTTTACATAAATCAGTGCCCGTAATGTGCTCTAAGGAAAGTATTTAGCACTGTTCCAGGGGGATACAGCTGCCAATAAATAGCTGTTCCATTGGGCACTCCATTCCCCTTCTCACTTCTCTGAAGAACTCCAGAAAGCTTCTCAATTTATTACTTGTGGGTTCTGTGCTTTCTTCTTACCTCATCTTCTTCCCAGTCCTTCCCTTTTTTGACTGTTCCAGTTTTCTGCTTTCAGTCTAACTCAGGATCTTAGGGAAGGGAAAGGTAGGGGTAAACCAGGGTGTTCTAAAAGTTTGCATAGACTAACATTGCTGGAAAAAAGGCTTCTTACAGGCTTCTGTTTGTGGTGGTGTTGCTAGTGTCTTAAATGTGGGCAGCTGCTGTAGAAAGCACTTGTAAACATTTTGGCCTTCTTAAATTGTTTAACGTTCTCAACTGATGTATCTCGTTTTCCAATTCAGCAGGCAACCTAGGTCATATCTGAAACGTTGGGTAAGTGTTTCAACTGCATGATGTGCGTAGCTTTTTCTGACTTGCTCATGTCCCCTAATATTTCATCTTGAAATCCACATGGACATTTTTGTACAGATAACTTGCCTTGGTATAATATTCAGAATGGTCCAGTCTTGTAAAAATCTTCGTGAAAATGTGATAGCCAAAGACCCTATCTAGTCACCTGCTATTACAGTGTTATTTCATTTGGCTGTCAAGCTACTCTTCAAAAGCAAGTAGAATTTTGCAAGGCTGGCCTAGCTTGTTTAAAAGAGGAACTAGTTAGCGTATTCAGGTTTTTTAAGGCTGACATTCAGAAGTGATAGGTTTGCAAAACTGCACAGACTTATTTGGTAAGATGCTAATTAATGGGGTCTCCACAGAATTAATAAGGCATTTGGGGAATAAGAAATCCAGTAATATCATTTTAATTTGAATCTGAGCTAAATACTTGATTGCATATCACTGCAGGTTCATCCAAGTTAAAGGATGCAGAAGCGAACCTGTTGCAATATTTTTGAGTAAAATTTAAAGTTTAAATATTTTTACTTTTTAATGAAATAACTTTTGGGTTTTGTATCGTTTTACCATTTTGCTAGAGGCATTGTTCTTAAAAGAAGATCTGAAAATAATGATAGGGTGGTTTAACTTGTGAATGCCAGCCATGGTCAATTATGTAAATGATGCACTTTATCCTTGTGTGTTCAGTTTGCATGGTGAGTGGTGGATACAACAGTGCACAGTCAGCTTCACTCTAGCTTTCGCTATGCCAATTCCCAGGGAATTCTTCCTTTTTAAATAGGTTTCTTTACCTTGATTTTAAGTGGACCAATTTTTATTGCACGTTACCTTTAACCAAAAGGCCTAACTACCCATTTTCACCATGTAGATGTTTGAAAAACTTAAATGTGTATTGACTGGATGTAGCTTAGTCCACTAACCTGTCAACCATTTAACAAGCTCCTTGTAGCCTTTGATTAGTGCAGCATGGTGGTATGTGTGAAGTGTTCCTATAAGAAAAGTCTGGGGACTGCTCTGCTGTGGTTACTGACTGGTTAACTTCCGACAAGTCTTACATCTGTGTTGAATTCTTAATGTAAGAAAAGTAAAGAGAAAAACAGTGGAAGGAATGGTCAGACTCCCATGTGTTCAGACAATCATACATTTTTAGCTGTCATAAATGTGCCATGAAATGCATGTCCTGTCCTATCTTTGTGTTCATACTGCTAGTGAAGTAGGGTAAATCTCCGACCAGCACTAGACTGACAATATATATAATCATCTCTAGGTGCCATGTGCATACACAGTATTTTATAATAACCCGAATAGCCTCTTTAATAAGCTATTTTATATGTATTTTTAACAAAACTCCTGCTCAAACAAGCGCATGAGAAACTACTCCAAAATTTAGAATGCATACCATCTTTCTTAGTAGCTATTCAGAACCTTCTGAATGGGGATTGATTAAGATACTACAGCTGCTTATTGTTGATATCCCCATTTCATTTTTTTCCATTACAGTGAATGACAAACGGGAACCATGATTGTGTCAGTCTGTGTTTGAGCCAAGATTGCAGATTAACAAAATCTAAGAACCTTTTAACTAGAAACTGTAGTAACATCCTCTAGCATCAGAATGATTTGCGAAGGACCCAGTTAAAATGAACATTGTGTGACTTAGTTTTATTTTCAGGCGCCTTCAATATGCTAGAACACAGTCATTTTTCAAATGTTATGAGTTTGTGGAAGTCTTTTAATACAGGCACTCCTGAGAATGTAATCTTATCTGTAATATGAATTTAAATGGTAGAAATTGCTAGATGTTTGAAGATGGTTAACAGTCAGATTCCTTAGTGGGTCCATGTCACTGTGGATCACAAGACTTACAGGCAGCTGTACTTTTCTCTCAGTCTTGCTGGAGGTTTCAGCTAGTTGCTTGAATAAGCAGTACCTCCTGTACTGGGAAGAATGACATCCATCCCAGTAACGTAAAGTAGTGTTTGTATAAGACTGTTTGAAACAAAAGACCTTGTAATAAAGTTCATGCTAAATATACTGTACTAATGTTTTGTTGGAATAAAGTACAAAATAAACCTTTTATTTCTTTATCACTGTTTTGTATCTCGTTTTTTTTTCTAACAGTGATATTTAAGGCTGTAGCCTGTGTTTGTAAATTAGACCTTTTGGGTTCATAGAATGAAACACTTTTTCATCACTATTTCTGTGAACCCTGTATCCCGTTACTTTTATTTTAAAATAAGTAGATACATACACTTCGTGCTTAGAAGGCTTTATTCTCTAAGTGGAGTTATTTATACTGGTAGGGTACTTGTCGAAGAAGAGTATTTAACTTCGTCTCGTGATGATCCTGCATAATTTTCTCTTCTGGCAGCATACTCCCCAACATTAGGCAATCCTGGCACCACGCAGCAGCTCAAAGCACTACGGTATATACTCATGTCATGGGCATCATACCACTCATCAGTCTTTTCATCATAGCATTCGACATTGAATGTGGTAGTGAAACCATTAAAGCCACCAACCACAAACAGAAGGTCATCCACCACCTCAATGCCAAAGTTACTACGGGGATTAAACATGGTGGGAATTGTACGCCATGTGTTAGCAATTGGATTGTAGGCTTCTGCACTCCGAAGACGGTTGGCTCCATCAAAGCCACCTACCTGTATATATAGGAGAAATCAAGAGTTTACAATAGGGAAAATGCATGTTAGGCTAGTGAATTTTTATGCAGGTTTTAGAATTAAAGTTGTTCTGTTTGGTTGGATAAACTTCTGGGTGTATGCAGCTCCTTTTGATTTCAGCACTTGAGTACTCAGCACTTCTGAAAATCATCCTTAATTACCTATGTTTGCTTTTATTGCAGCCTGCTGTTTTATTTGTAATTATGGAAAAAGCCTTTAGCTGCCAAAACCACTCTGGAATTTAGAGGAGTAATCAACAGACTTGTGCCCTGGGCAAACAGTGCTGGAGAGCAAGGGTGAGGTCGAGAGAAGGGTGATTGGTCTTATTTTCCCTTGGGTCTCAGAGACCACAGCTGCTGCTGCCATGTTGCTATCTGTCCCCTCCTGGCAGCTGCATGGTGTCCCTGCATCTAGCTGCTACTGCTGCAGAGCAAGGCTTCTATGGTTCTGGCAAAGACTTCCCGGGGTGGCTGTCATTCCAGTGCTCCTAGCTAGTGCCACACTTGTCCACCCCTGGTTATGCCACTGCTGAAATTATCCTTTTACCCAATGTAATAGTACATCTTGTCAAATGTTATACTCTTACAAGAACTAAGTAAAATATCTTAATTCCTGGAACCAACTGAAAAGAACTCTTAAGGTAGGGAGACTAAGCAGTCTTTAGAAATAGGAGCTTTGTGTTTCTCATGTGCGCTGCAGTAGTTTCTAATTGTCCCCCCACTAGGTCAAATGCATCTTGGCTATCTGCTGGCTTCTATGTAGTTGCTTGAAGTAATTCTCACTTGTATGAGCTAATCCGCCGGTTTTCAAGCAGTGTTGAGTGGAACATTGGGGTTCTGCAACAGGTCATCAGAGGTTCTGCAAAGAGATTGGTGATAGTGGAGGAGTGGGCTGGGAGGTGGTATGCCACTATGGCTGAACTGGGTCACCTGACTACATCAGCCTTTAGTATAGGGGTAGTGGTTCCACAGCAGAAGTGGTAACACAAAAGGGTTCTGTGACTTCTGAAAGTTTGAAAACCACTGAACTAATCCCATTGTCTTTGTTCTTTAAATATATGGGGATTTATTTGGGTAACTGTCGGTACCCGATTTTTGTCTTCTGCTGGCATTCACTTTTCCTTTTGATGGGGATCGAACAGTTGAACTATATGGGCAACTTAGTTTTATACAGGGTATTTTAGGTAACAGCCTAGAAAATAAGGCAGCAGACTGCAGGGTTGTGTTCTGTTAATCCAGTTGGCACTTAATTTCCAAACTTCTACTTCCCCAGCTTGGTCATCTGTAATGTTACAAAAATGCCTTTTATATTTGCAAAAGAAATTGCATCCATACCTTTTGGCACGCACAGTTTTGTAATGCACTACACCTTTTAAGATGAAGTTTTAAGAGAACTTTTTTTTAGTGTATTTGAGGAGACTATTATATTGCATATGAATACAATTTAAATGCTTAATTTTGAAGCCTCCATGCAGTTTTTTATTAATGGAACCCAATAAGGTTTTGGGACAGTAAGACTCATGTAGAACTAATTAGGCAAGTACCTTTACCCTTTTCCATGATTGTTGCACACTTGGTTTACTAAGGCAAGGATCTGTGCTGAGTCCCAAAGCATGGTAGATGCTCTTAAGATCCCTTTTTCATTTAATTCCAACTTTCCAACTCTGGTTGAAGTGGCAGTCTTCTGCACACTATGTCGTATTGTTTTTATGCAGCACATAGCTTAAAATAAAGCCTGACTAGGGTGTATCCAGTAATTGTACTACAAGTATTATAACTTGGAGATATCCAATGTCTTCAGTCCAATGAAAGACATTCTCCATTGAGACTAGTTCCTTTCTAAACTTTATTTCCAGGTTACAGCTTTAATATTTTGCAAGGTTCTTAAGAGGGAGAAATGTAATGCGCTCTCAATCAATTAGTAACTTTTGTCTAAACTTGCCTTCCCAAATCTCTGCTGGAGTGCTGGCTTGGACAGCCTCCTTCCAAAAGGGTAAATTTAGGAGAACTGTTTTGGCAACGTCAAAGTGAGATCCAGAAATAAGCCACGTGGTAGAACTTAAGAACACGGTGCCACCTGCAGTCAGACCAATGGTCTGTCTAGCCCAGTATTTGTCAGTGGCAAGTAATAAATACTTGAGAGAGAGAGAGGTATATAAATGGACATGTTTGAAGAAGTTCATACCCTATCATACTCTCCCTGCCATCAACTGTCATTGATTTTAGGGATGCCAGAGAATGGATCCCTGATTGTTCTATCTAATAACTTCTAATGTGCTTGTCTAATCCTTTTCTGAATCTGGTTACGCTACAATCTCCTGTGGCAATGAGTGCCATGAGTTAACTACCTGCTGTGTGTGGGGGGAGGAGGGAAGAGGGCCTCCTCCTGTTTAAGTTTTAGCAGGTGTCCTCTAGTTTTCATATGCTAAGACTTGCTGAATAATACCTCTTAGGTCTCTCTCCTGAGTGCCCACTAGCTAGTTCAGAGCCTAGCCTGATGTCTATCTGTTGGAAGTTACTTTCCCCCATATGCATTACTTTTCACTTGCAAACATTAAATTCATATGCCACTTTGCTAATCATCACCACATTGTATGAGATCTTTCTGCAGCTCCTTGCCATCATCTTGGGATTTGACTACCCAGAATAATTTGGTGTCATCTGCAGACTGTGATCATGCTGTCTACTCCCTTTTCCAGGTCACTTAAGAAAATGCTGAACAAAATTGGCCCCAGCATAGATCCCTGAGAAACATTACTGTTGATCTTCCTCCACCTTAAAACATGACCACTTAGCCCTATGTTTTGTTTCCTGCATTTTAACCAGAGTTTGATCAATGAAAGGCAATCCTTTAGCAGCTCAGTTTTTTAAGTGTCTAATGAAGGACCGTGTTGAGCTTTTCTGAAAATCCAAATATGTTATCAACTGGATTCCCTTTATCCACATGCTTGTTAACACCCTCAAAAAGCTCCAGCAGGGTGCTGAGACAGGGTTTCCCTTTACAAAAGCCATGACTCTTCTCCAGCATTTTATATTTGTTAAGGTGACTGCTAGTTTTATTCTTGATTGTAGACTGTAACAATTTGCCAGGTATAGAAGTGAGGCTCACTGGAATATATAGTTTCTAGGATCACCTCTGGAGTCTTTCTTGAAGATAGGCATTATGTTGGCAACCTGCCAGGCCTCTGGGACGGAGCCCATTTGTAACTATTGCCAACAGTTCTGCAATTCCACATTTAAGTTCCTTCAAATGTCAAGTGAATATCATCTGGTCCCGTTGACCTGCTACTGTTGAATTCAACAGTTTGCTCTAAAATCTCCTATATTGTTGCCTCAGTTTGATATAAGTCTAAAAGCTGTACTGGCAGCCACCTTACCGCATACACATGTTCTCCATAAGCAATCACTCCTATTCCACTTCTTCGGCTTCTCATTGGTGCTATGAGAGTCCACTGATTTGTCTTAGCATCGTACGCTTCAGCTGTAAATAGGCATTCATTGCCATTGAACCCACCACATATGTATACCTGTTTAAAAACACAAAAAGATGACAATTCTTATTGCTAGGTAAAAGTGGTCTTGAAACCATTTTGTTCAGATCTAGCCCTTTCCTGGCTCATGTCTTTGGGACAAGGGATTTAGCAGAATTCTCAGATTTGTTGGAATGCAACAAGGCAGCACTGTGAGCGCTTCTATGACCTTGAGCTTTTCATCTTGGGCTTCAAGCTGCTCACCCCAGTGTCCATGTCACTGGAGTGGGGTAGACCCAGCCTATTTCACTATATTTGGATTAATGCAAGTGCACCTATCACCTGGGGAACTGAATTTGGGCATTTTGTTTCTAGAGCTGGAAGGTTTTCAGAAGCACTGCGTGAAGGGAGTATTATTAACTGAAGGGTGATGATAAGAGACCCCATGAAGTGCTCTTGCATTTAGGATCATAGAATGATAGGAAGATAGGGCTGGAAAGGACCTCATGTGGTCAGCTAGTCCAGCCCTCTGCTCAAGGCAGGATTATCCCTAATTATACCATCTCAGCCAAGTGTCTGTCCAATCTACTCTTGAAAATTTCTAAGGGTGGAGATTCCACAACTTCTCCAGATAGCCTGTTCCAGTGTTTGACTATGCTCAAAGTCAGGATGTTCCTTCTAATATCCAACCTAAATTTCCTCTGCTCCAGCCTGAGGCCATTGTTAGTTCTGTACCCTATGGCTACAAAGCAAAGCCCAACTCCACCCTCTATAATTACCTTTCAGGTATCTGAAAACTGTTTGAAGACCACATCTGCCCCTCAGTCTTCTTTTTTTTTTTTTTTCCAAACTAAATAACCCCACTTTGTTTTAGCCTTTCTTTAAGTCATGCTTTCCAGACCTCTAATAATTTGTGTTGCTCTCCACTGAGCCCCTTCCAGTCTGTCCACACCTTTCTTGAAGTGTGGGACTCAAAACAACACAGTACTCCAGATGAGGCATCTTCAGTGCTGAATACAGCAAAAGAATCACTCCTCTTGATTTTCAAGTGACACTCTTGTTAATATAACCCAGTATACTGTTGGCTTTTTTTTGCAATGAGAGTATGCTATTGGCTCATTCAGCTTATGGTCTACTGTAACCCCCAGTTCCTTCTCTGCAGTACTGTAGCATAGCCAGTCATTCCCCAGTCTGGTTTTGTGCATGCAGTTATTCCATCCCAGGTGCAGGACGGGGCACTTGTCCTTGTTGAATCTCATCTAATTGGTTGCAGACCAATTTTCCAATCTGTCCAGGTGGTTCTGGAGCATAGCCCTACCCTCCAAGATGTCTGCAACTCCTTCCAATTTGGTATAATCTGAAAATTTGCTAAGCATGGATTCAATCCTATCATCCAAATAATTAATGATGATATTAAACAATATGGAACCTAGGACAGAGCCTTGGGGAATCTCACTTAATACTTCTTCCCCTCTAGATACTGAGGCATTGATGACTACTCACTGAGTACCATGACCTAACCAGTTATATACCACCTTATAGTACTTTGTTCTAATGAGAATGCTATGGAGGGGAGTGACTTTATCAAGGCTTTTGACAAAGTATATCACATCCACTACCTCCATCTACAGAGCCTGTAACCTTATCATAGAAAGAAATCAGATTGGTCAGGCATGACTTGCTGTTGGTGAATCCCTGTTGGCTATTCAACCTTGTTCTCTAGGTGTCTCTCAGTAGATTCCTGGAGGACCTGCTCTATGATTTTTCCAGATACTGAGGTCACACTGACCTGTCTATAATACTCCATGCCCGTATTCTTCCTTTTCTTATAGACGGGAATTATTTTCCCTTTTCCAAGCATCTGGACCTGATCTCCATGAGTTCTCAAGGATGATAGCTAATGGCTCTGAAATTACTTCAGCCAATTCCTTCAGTACTCTAGGGTGCATCCCATCCAACCCTGCCAGATGAGATAGGCTCATTACTGTGGCAGCCAAACACCTGTTCTTAGACAGGTATGCATCTGTATCCCCATGGTCTAAAGAGTAATGTGTGAAGTGGGGAAGGGCAAACACATGTCAGTTCGTCAGCAGATCAGTGGGAGCATCTATTGCCTTTTTCCCTTCAACTGCTCCTCTCCAAGCCTTTCAAAGTACTTTACACATTTTATTTCCAATGCCCATCCCAACAATTACAGTGTAAGTTGGAGACAAGTTGTAAAGTGACACTGGAGAACTGCACTAGTTTTGATTTGAAGTCCCATATTCCATCTAACCTTGTTTCAGTACAGCTTACAGCATTACAGTCCTAAAGAATAAAATCCTTTTGCTACATGTGTGTCACTTAACAACAGCACCAACACACTCTTTTTACGTGTGACTGTTTTTTACATGTGAAAGGTGGTTGCCCTAGTAATAGGTTTTTAAAAAAAATAAATAACTCCATGGAATAAGTTTTAACTAAAGAACACACAAAAAAATCAATATAACCAGTTGTGATTTGTTTTAGAGAAAGATGAAGAGATGGACTTGGCTATTGGGCATTCTACCCTAAAGATGAATGCTTGGTATCAGTGAGAATGCTTGTATCATGTTCAAAATACCCAAGTCATCAGCTACATTCAGAGGTGGAACTGTGGCAAAAGGTACCTTTTGACTTTCTGTTTTCTTGTAATGCTAAAACTTGTCATTTTCCCTAGACTGACATTTTTAGCAGCTTAGAGATGAAAATTTAAAAAGCAAAGTCCAATTCCTGTTCTTGGCTTACATGCACGTACAACTCCTGAAATCAAAAGGAGTTGTGTGTGCATGTGCACTTGCGCACACGCGCACGCACACACACAGATCAAGAGTGGGATTTTCCTCTGCCCAGGAGGTTGGGTGAAGCACTGGATTCTATTCTTGATTGCCACTGGCCCACTGTGTGACAGGTCACTTCCCTCTCCTCTTCCTCTGTTTCCACCCTTACAACCCTCTTTTTGTTGTTTTTAGATTGTAAAGCTCTAGGTCAGTGGTTCTCTCTCTTTTTCCAGGCAGCCCTCCATTATGTTTCTGCCTTTGGTGGCACCCCAGCTGAGAACCACTGTTGTGTTGTCTCAGCTTACCTCAGTGATTCTCAACCAAGGTACTGTTGCCATTGCTAGCAAATGAAACTGCCTCTCGTGCCTCATATGGAGCCAGATTGGGAAGGGCTGCCAAAGACATAACTAGTGATTTTTTTCATCCTGGGCAGAGATGGAAGGAAGGGGATTGGAGGTGTTGTGCCAAACACTTGAGTGCAGAGGGGTAGAGAGCTGTGGGAATGGGGTCTAGCCCAAAAAGGTCTTACCTGATAGCAGCTGTGGCTACTGCTGGGGCTGGCTCCCTGCATGCTGCCTGGCTAGGGCTGTTTCTGTACACCCAGCCTGCTGTGGCTGTTGGGGCACAAGCTCCCTCAGGTCTGCCATTCTGGTACACCCTCCAAATTAGCACCTGGGGCTGTGTCGGGGCTGTGTCCCCCCTGCCTCACCCTAGCTATGGTGCTTCTGCCTGCATTAGGATTATCTGATAAACCTAACACAGGTAGGGGTGGTCACTCTTGCTGCAGCCCTTCCTGGTTCATCTGTGCATGCTCCTCCCAGAAACAGGTGCCTAGGCATTTCCATCTGGCCGTGCCTGTGCCATGGCACCTGTGACAGGGTGTTGTGACACCCCAGTTGGAAACCACCGCTCACAGTAGTAGCAGTACAGAAAATGTCTGGTACAGGGGTGGGCAAAATATGGCCTGCAGGCCAGATTTGCCTGCCAAGGAATTCTATCTGCCTCACAGCCTGTCCCTTAGCCCCAGCTGGAAGCACAAGGGGGGACCCCAGCCTGGGCATGTGGCGGGGCTGGGACCAAACCTGGCTTCCTGGCAGCCCCCTGCTAATGTTTCCACCACCACTGCCAGACCCAACCCCACTGCCTGGGCACCCCAGCCTGTCTGTCCTGCACCCACCACTGGGGGCACCAGATGGGTTGGGCAGGGGGGTCTCCATGGAAACAGCCTGGGACCCCCCACAAGCAGGGAACACTCGGCTGGGCAGATAGGATGGGGCTGCCTACCCACTCCATTTGGCACCCCTGCTGGTGGGTGTGGGGCAGATGGCCCTGGGGCCAGATAGGATCAGTTGTTTCCCCCCCTTCCCACCCTCCAGCCTGCAATAGCTCACCAGAACTCCTTAAGTGGCCCTCCAGCCCAAATAATTGCCCACCCCACGCCTGGTACAAAGTGGAACCTGGGCTCAGGTGAGGGCTGCCCTGCCTCAATGCAAATAAGAAAGGGCAAGGCTCTTGTCTTCAGCTGAATGCGAATGCAAAAGACTCAACCCTGCTCACCAGAGGGGATGCTAGGGTCACAGCTGTATTCCATCCCTTTTACCTTTCCATACAGCGTGGTCGCACTAGCGTCACTTCTCTGTTCATGCATGGGTGCAATCAACGTCCACTGGTTTGTCTCTGGTTCATACCGTTCTGCTGTGTTGAGACGCACGTAGCCGTCGAACCCTCCCATGGCATAGATGAAGTTGTTGAGGACAGTGACGCTGACGTAGCAACGTCTTGAGTGCATGGGAGCAACCTGATGCCACGTTTTCTTAAGCGGGTCAAACCGTTTGACGCTGTTAAAATAATCCACACTATCAAATCCTCCAATGATATAGACATACCCTTTTAAATAAGCAGCGCCATGGTATGCTCGGGGGCTTTCTTGCTGACATGTGACATTCACCCATCTGTCCGCGCGGGCATCGTATGTTTCAATGGCATTGGTTGGGCTTCCCCCACTCCAGCCACCAATAGCAAACAAAATTGCATAAGGCAGGCGAGGCCTAGTAAGTGGGTTGGTGAAATCAGAACTAGAAGGGCCATTCATGTTGAGGTCATACATGGCTTTTAGCGCATTTATGATGACAGGCTTGCATTCCTCACTGTCCTTCACATAATCATGCATTTTAACGTTATTCATGAAATACTCAGCGTGCATCAATGCCAGGCGAACCTGCAAAGGCAAAGGGAAGTTAGGAGAGCTGTCCTTGGGTATCTTTTGGACATGGACATGTTGGCTCTAAATAGTTTTGATGTCAAAGAAGATAAAACAGGGACTCTGAGACTGGAGAAGAGTCCAGAAAAGATTGACTGGTTTAGAGGCTTGATAATGAGATACATTGTTGTATAGGCCCTCACAGTTGCAGCTTCAAATTGGTCTCAGCTTTGACACTAACCAAAGGCTGTTGCTGTCTTACTACATGCTTGCAGAAACGGATACCTGAGGCTGTTTGGTAATACTCCAACTAGCTTGTTTACATCAACACTGAAATTGTTGATAGGGAAGGGATTTGTTTCAACTGATTTTTGCTATTTGGAAAGAAGCTTTGACATTGTTTTAACACTGTGTTTATTTGACACTTCAAATTTTCTGTATGAAGTCTCCCACAGAATTTTTTCTAAATGTTAGCTCATGCTATTTTTTTTGTTTTGTTTCAAACTAGAAAATTGAAACATTGCCCTTTTTCAGATTTTTAGTGCACAGATTCTTTAACATTAATTTTTGTCCCAGTCTGGGATGGGATCATTTTTCAAAAGTTTAATGTTGTGGGGAGGAAGAATATTTCCTGCAGTGTCTTCTAACTCTTTCTATGAGTCGTTCCTTCCCTTCCCCGTGCCCCGGTCTAATTTGAATCTCAAATCATGGAGGTTTTCCTGAGTCAGCTGGAAGACTGTTTCTTGACCAAAGAGGCCTTTAATGTTCACTTGTCCTCACTTTCAACTTTTGTATTAAATATTAATTCACTGTGGTAAGTGCTTTCATCATCATCTCCCCTCTTAAGTCATTGTTTACCAAGTTATATAGATAACATTCTTTTATATTTTCAGCAGTCTCAGTCCCTCTGCAGCCTTCAGTGTTAGCATCCTTAGATTTCTTCAGTTTGTTTATATCTTCTATATGAGGGTCAAGATCTGAGTGGTGATACCGAGAATGTGGATATACCTCTAATTCAAAGAGGGACTGTTGTCTCTCTGACACAGTGCTTCTATTTACAGTCTAAACCTGCACAAACTTCCCTTACTACTCTCTGCCTCTGTGCATCTAATAACATACCCAGGAAGTCTGTTAACACAGAGTTAAAGTTATTGGCAGTGCTTAGTGCTTTTAAACCCTTGAAAAACAGGAAATACCAAGTTATGGTACATGCCACATCTCCAACACAGCCATCACTTTGTCTCTCTGACTGGTGCCCCACTGAGCCAACAGCACACCAGCTGTAACCTTAACTCTGTGTTAACAACGTTTTGAATTTCCTTGGTATTTTTTTTACACCATGAGTACCTCTGCTCCACTGCCTCTGGGTCCTGCCCATGGCTGACTCAATCAAACAGTGCATTGACTGTTCATGGGGCCTCTTCCTGCCCCCACATCATCTCCTGCCTCTCTATCTGCTCCGCACTGCCTGGTGTCCCCTCCTCAATCCCCCTCCCTTAGAGAGAGATAGGAAGGCTTAGTGCTTCAGACTGGAGACATGGGTCTAATTCCCAGCTCTGCAACATGCTGTGTGTGACCGTAAGGAAGTCCCATACCTTCTCTGTGCCTCAGATTCCCCATCTGTAAAATGGGGACAATATCAATGCCTTACTTCACAGAGGTGTTAGAAATATTGAAGACTGGGATGCTTACATATGCTGGTACAGATCTGGTAAGTTTCTGTCTTCCACAAGAGTGATCGATTTTGTAAAATGCTTAATTGTAGGTGGCTGTTTCTAGACAGCCCCTGGTTCTAAAGACCTTAGATTTGGACCTCTCACCCTACCTAGCATATTCAGAAGGCACAGCACATTTCAGGATGATCTGAGTAAGCACTTGGATTTCCTGGATGTTAGAGTTCTTAGATGAGCAGACCTCTAAACAGAAAGCAAGGACCCGCCTTTCATGATAGAAGAGCCAGGACTTTATGGTAATTTGTTGCTGTCCCTGTTCAAACCCCCAACCCTCTTTCAAGCTTTATCAGTGGAAACAGATGCTTGTGTGGGGCTCTGAAGTGCTCTGCATGGGCTTGCCCACAGGGACCTGATTACCGGACCCATACAATGCAGGGGAACAAAATTGTGTTTTTGTTACCTAAGCTACCGTTTTTCTGGAACATTGAAAGAAACTAACTTAAATCCAAAACACTGTTGCTGTAGCCCAGTGGTTCTCAACCCTTTTAGATTCAAGGCATCTCTTAGAAAATGCACTTAACTTCACACTTTTTTGTTTGATTACAGAAAAATAAGGCAATTCTTCTGTTCCAAAGAACTCAGAAGGATTGCAACAGGTCAGAATGTCTTCAACACTGTGGGTTCCTTTGCAAAAACTCTGGGTTTATCTTGTGAATCACGTCTGCACACTTAACAAAATCACTGCTTTAGCCCCTTTCAGTGCCACTTGGGAAGGAAAAGGAAAACCAAATTAATAAAACTAACCTTTGGTAGCAAGACTGAAATGTACTGCTTCCTATTTTGAGGATCATGGGAAATCCATTTCAGAATGGCCTCAAACACTGCATCTTCCTGTTTCACATTGAGTTCATCCTTCTCAATGATGTCTTTAAACTCATTGACCGAGAGCTCTAGAAACTCATTAGACACCTTTACCATCTCCTCAAAGTTGTGCAGGATGAACATGTAGGCAGTTTGCCGCAGGTCAGGACAGTGGTAGTACTCTGTGAACTTGCAGATGCCAATGCAATTTTCCAAGCACAGCTGAGATTTTAAGAATTCACAGCACCCCCTGACAATGCCCATGATGTTGAACTGGTCAGCTGCAGCAAGCAACCTCTCCACATTGTCAGCAGTGACTGGAACTGTCCTAGTGTAGGCATACTCGATAATTAGCTTCATCATATCAGGTGAAATGCCAGGAATGTTGTACACTCGCTTCTCTGTGTTGTTCCAGCCACTGGTAAACAAAGCCCTGGAAAAAGAAACAGTTCTTGGAGGAAAAAAAACACCAAGAATACCTGATCCACTGTTTGATTATATATCCCTTCTACCTCCCGAACTACAATATAAGGGATGACAAACCCAGGAGGATTAGCTCAGTGGATTAGCAGTGACAGTACAGAAAGCAACTGAAGTTTCACTTGCTTTTTGGCATGTTTCAAATGAGCTAGGATCTCAAACCATGTGCAAGTAGCCACTGAATGACTGACTGCCTTGTTACAACAGGGACAATGAAAAATAATTGAGCATGGAAACTCAAAGCTCTGGTTTAAATGGGAGGATTAGTGCACGCTGGCAGGGCAGTGGATGGCATTGCCTCTTCCCGTGTTGTGCCTGCTCTGTGGACAGATATTAAACACCAGATTCCTAGGGTGTAATTAAACATTTGACCGTGGGTTACTGTTGGTGTCCAGGCCAGTATTTGGGCTATGGATAAGCAATGGATGCCAGTTCCAGAGCTTTCAATAGTGCCAAACCTACCTTCAAATAATTACTGCTATGTAACAGACAAGAAAGCAGTAATTGTCCCTGCTTCCTTTTTCTGCTCAGTTCAAGCACTGACCTAAAATACGAACTGCAGCTACATAGGATGTTCTTGTGAGCATTGAACTCAAAACCATTGACTTTGATGACTACGTCACAGAGTTTCCCTTCTAGTCGAAGCTCATTGAAGACCGTGCAAGCCATCGCGCTCATCTTCCTCTCCATGTGGGGGTGGGAGTACCCCACTGAAGTGGAGGTGTCATCCATGTCTGTAAGCCTGGAGACAGTGGAAGAAACTTCCCTCCGAGGTGCTACAGGGCTTTCTCCTTTGCCCTCCTACATCTTCTCTAGAACGTGTGCTTTATCTGGCAGTTCCAGAACCCGTCTGATAATGAGATCACTGTTGGGCTCTAGAACCTGTACTGCACTTAGCAGCATTGGTGATGGCTGCCTGGTGGAGCCGCGCTGGTAACGCTGAAGCTTGACAATCGTGTCCTGGCCCAGTTAACGAGGCGTCCTGGCAGCACTGGTACATTGAACCTGGAATTCCTAATAAGCTTGATGTTTTATTGCGCTTTTGCTGCTCCGAGCATCATCTCAGATTTAATAATATGATTTTACACAGATACCACAGACCTCAAGGGGCTGCTTCTTCAGCTCTTACACCCACTGTGCACAGGGAAAAGCTGAGGCACAGACTGCCTGAAGGACTTGCTCAAGGCTATTCATAAAGCCTCCAGTAACTCAATGCAGCCTGCTTCTCTTATGCCTGGGTCTCATGCATCTCCTGTTTGGATGAAGAGCAGGGGGGTACACACAAGGGCAAACCTGAGGGATTTGGGCAAGAATGAGGCAGTTCCTCATGCTGCTGCTGGCATTGGTTTCAGATAAATTGTTTCTGGTTTTAGATAAATTTGATAAATGGCTTCCTGTTTTAGATCGCTTTTTGTTCCCTGTGGCTCAGCATGGTGGCTGGTAAAAGGGGCAGTAAGAGACAATGGCGCAAGGAAGGACTTGTGAGGCTTAAGTACGGCTTATAAAGTTCTTCTGGTCACTACAAATGCACACTGCTTTTTAAAAACCACCTGGTTTGTAGGGTGGTGTTACAAACCATTCACAGCCTTCAGCAGAGCTGTATTGCTTTCGTTCACCTTGTAGTCTGATGAGGAGGAGCCACCCGCCTTTAACTTCGTTTCCTCTCACGACTGTTTTGCAAGAAAAACGCAACTTAACTGCAGCTGCTTGCCTTTTTTAGCCTGGTAGCACTGCAAGAGGCTGGGCTTGTGGTGAAAGGGAAAGCAACGGGTTTGCGATAAGGTCAGAGTTTCACCCGTTGGCTCCTCTCGGCATGCGAGCTCCACGAACAACTCACCACTGCGCTGTGCACAAGGAAGCTAAGACGCCTCCTCCCAGCAACCCTTGCGCGCGCCCTGCCAGTGCAGCGTCTGCACGAGGACCTTTGGACTCGGTGGGGCTGGACTGCACAGCCCCGCAGGGTGAGAGCAGGCGCCGCGCCTTGCTGCTTATCAGCTGCCTGCAGGCATCCCTAGGACAGACAGTCAGTGCCAGCCGGCTTCGGGTTGTGACCTGGGGCCACCCTGTTGTCCCAAAGGCAAGCTCCTGGGGGGCCCGTGGTGAGGCTGTGCCCCCTGCCCACCTGCGAGACCCCTTAGCCCCGCCCCACACCCCCAGGTGTCAGTCCTCCAGCCTCCAAACCGGCTCCTGATTCCCCCCAGCCTACACCAAGCGCTTTGTGCCGCCCTCCAGGGCTGCCCAGCCCCGGCGCCGGGCTCGCCCCGCCTGCTCCTCCCCTGGCGCATGCGCCTGCGCGGCCCCGCACCTCGGTCTTCCGCGGGGCGAGCAGAAGCCGGCTGGGATGGTGAGGGCGGACGGGCGCGAGGGGAGTCGTGGGTTGGCAGCCTCCGGGGCGCGGGGCCGAGAGCAGCTCTGCTACCCAGCACAGGCTCTGCATCTGGGGGGCCGCCTTGGCTCTGGGGGCCCCCTGGAGGGAGGGGATGCCCTTGTTGGGGGGAGGGTCCCCTTCCTGAAGCCCCCTGGCCGGGAAGCTGGACCGCCTCTGCCACTGTGGCACGGGGGCCGTATGCTGGAGCGGGTTCTCATTGCCAGGGGCGCCTCTCTGCTGCCCTGGTCTCAGGGGCTGGCTCGGGTCTCCCAGCTGGCACCTTCTGTGCTGCGGGCCAGGCCCAAGCCAGCCAGCTCCGTGTGGGCTCCGCTGAGGATCGCCTCCGAGCCAGCCCCGAGCATGTTGTTGCTCAGAGCTTTGTTGCTGTGGAGCTTGGTGGAGGGGCTGGGTAGAAATGACACTGCATCCCCCCCCAGATCTCTGTTCCCCCAGGTTGAGTGCTGTAAGCTGATGGGTCTCTGCTCATCCTTGTGCACCCTGCAGAGTCTGCACGTCTGAGAGCCAGCTGGGGTCTGGTCCCCTGAACCTCTCCGCAAAAGCTCTCAGCAAGGCCCTATTCTTGCAACTGTGTCCATACAGGTGGATCTCTCTGCCTCTTTAATGTCACAGGGGCAGCTTTGGGGTCAGAGCCTAAGCCCCTTGCAGCTGGTACTTCTGCTTAGGGTTTTCCAAAAAGTGGGAGGGAAATTTTTTGTTTGCTTGTTTGCTCATTAGGGTCTGTTTGATCTGGAAACAATGTTTGAGACTCCACCATATCAACTTTCACCAGTTGGTTTTCAGTCTACTTTTGGGGCTCAAGGGGAAAACTCTTCCTTAAAGCTCTTTACAGTGCAAGTTTATATTGGGAGTGGCTTTTAAACCATGGCAGTGCTGGCATCTGCAGCTTGGCCCTATCTCTGAGCATCACGCTTTACCTGGCAATCGCTCTCTGTTTGCAGATTGTGGAACTAGACAAAACGACTGTGCGAATGAAAAACCCTGACCATGTGAGGGGGATAATCTCATCCATCAAGAAAGATGGAATAAACAAACTGCAGGTACCTCTTTTGCTGCAGGAAGTTTTGCATTGAAATGACTCTGTGTGTGGGGAAAGGGGCGGTAACATCCTGCTTAGTTTCTGCAGCACCTGGCAGCTGTAAGGTGTGTCCCAGGATGTCTGAGCACCTTGTGTTTGTTTTGTTTTTTAATTTATTGTGACAACGCCTGTGGGAGAAGCTGTTATCATACAGTGACTTGGCCAAGGTCACACAGGAAGTGTGGAACAGCTGGGAGTTGAGTCTGTTCTCTGGAGGCCCACGTTGCTTTCTTAGCTTCTGGGCCATCCTTTTTCCTTCTCTGCCAGGTGCTCTATAAATATCAACCCATCCTTCCAACACTGGCCTGAGAGGTGGATCAGCAGGATCATCCCTGTTGAATAGATGGGGAAACTGAGGCACAGAGAGGGGAGGGGCCTATCCATTAGTTAGGAGAGCATTTCTCTCAGAGCTGTGAGCAGATCCTCAGACCTTCTGGCCAGACTATGCCTTCTAGCTAGGAGGAGGTCTCCTTTGGTAGTGTGTGCTTTGTACTGTCCATAGGCTCAGGTCTTTGCAGATAACAGCCCTTGCCCAGGTGCCTCTAAAATTGCAGTGTGCTTGGTTCCTTTTTTACTCTGTCCTTTTCTCCATCATCCCTGTGTTCTCCAGGTCATTTCTGATTTTGACATGACTCTGAGTCGGTTTGGATGGAATGGACGGCGGTGCCCCACTTCGCACAGTGAGTTGAATTGCCTCAGTTGTTTCTTACTGATCCTTCTGGGATCACCTTTTTCCTTACTGCCAGCCCTTCTCCTTACTCCCTCCTGCCTTGCATATAACTTGACTCCTGCCTCAACCTCAGCCTCTATGTCCCCACCATCCTGGGCTCACCTCTACACCCTCTTTGCCACTCTTGGCTTTCCGGCCTTCCTTTATGTGACCAGAAAGTCCCAATCCCCTTTCTACCTTCAAGTCCCTTGCTAATACTGTCATCTTGTATGCTTTTTACTCAGACTATACGAATCCCAGCTGAATTGTTGCTTTTCATTTGCAGTAGGACATAAGCAGGAAGCCTGGTAAAGAGTTTCAGAGGGGACTACAAATTTGGGCTTCTGTGCTTAGAGGGGACACAGACTATGATGCACTCAAGGGTCCTGGAAGAGTAACTGCTCTTGAGGAGTCGGACCCTTTTAAAGTATTTGAAGCTGGGCACCTAGAATCCCTCTTT